GAAGTCATCCATACTTGTGCCTAGACAGAGCTAAGGGTGACCTGTCCCCCCCCCAAAAAAAAACACCACTCACTGTATGCCAAATAGTACCTACTGTGTGCCAAGGGAGGTGTTAGAAATATAGAAACAAATAAGACACAGGACCTGGCCTGGAGTCTTACATACTAACGGGGGAAGACAAAGGAGGAACAACTAAATGCTTCACAGTGTTGGGGCTGCCCGCTGTAGGTATGACCTGTTGTGAGAGCATGGACGAGAGGTTGGGAAAGGCTCTGGGGGGAGGTTTAAAGCTGAGTCCATGGCCCCACCTCTGTCTCCTCCGTCTCCCTCAGCTGCCCCCAAGTTTGACCTCAGTGCCCGGCTGAAGAGTCACATGGTGGTTCGCGCTGGGACAGCCCTCTGCATCCATGCTGCCTTCTCTGTGAGTCGCTCCAGACCCTGGCCCCCCGGTGCCCCCCACTCAACAAAGATGGCTGCTCTAGCTATCATAATCTCTGTCTCTGCCCCTCGCCAGACGCCTGGCACTAGAGCCTGGCAGGAGACCCCTCGACAGTGGATTGGGAGAGGGCCTGCCCTCAAATATCACCTGGGTGACCCCACTGCCAATCTCCTGTCACTACGCAGGGCTCACCCGCACCGAACGTGATCTGGCAGAAAGATGGCATCCCCACCAAGGGCCGGGAAACCATCACCAAGGGCAAGAACCACTCCCAGTTCCTCATCAACAGCACCAGGCGCTCCGACTCAGGGGTGTACCGCATCTTGCTCCAGAACGAGTTTGGAGAGGCATACTATGACATCCACGTGTGGGTGGCAGGTACGACAGCGGGCGGAGGCCTCGGGGAGGCGTCCTTGCACACACCCCAAAACCGAGCTCCCCACTGCTGCTCGAGTTCCTGCCACCCTCAAGTCATGCCGGAAGGTAGTGAAGGCTGCTCTGGCGCCACAGGGCAAGACGTTATCGGCCTTTGCCTTGATGGGGAGGTTTGTTTCCACTTTTTCCCAATGTCCAGAAGCCTTAGAGGCATTGAACTAGGACCAAACCCTTGTTTCGGTTTCTGCACTCGTATCTGGTGAGCTTCGGGGGCATATGCAAGGTATGGTTGGCAGAGGGAGAGCAGAAAATGAGTGGGAGGCGGGAGGGACAGGAGGAGATGAGTCCATTCAGAACTGGAGTGACCTCATAGTGAGGGCTAGAAGCTTTATAATCAAGCCTTAAGCCCTCAAGGGATGAAGCGATAAACTTTTATTGAATAGTTACTATGTGCCAGGCACTTTACTCAACATTTCTGCGGGAGTTACTGTTAGCCCTATTTTGCAAATGAGGAGATGGGTCTCAGAGTTTACAGGGCTGGTAAATGGCAGAGCTGCACCTCAGAAAGTTCTTTCTGCCTCCAAAACACCAGCGGCCTGAGACTCAAAGAAGAGGCGTTCCCCATTCCATCTTCCGCAGGGCTTGGCAGGTGGCTGGGGTAGGGCACAAGTCTTCAGGCCCCCAAGGGTGGCTGACGGACCTTGTGGCCGTTCCAGATTTTCCGCGGCCACCCACAAACCTACAGCTGTTTGAGGAGGTCCCCAACACAGTGACTCTGACCTGGAACCACAGCCCTGACGTGCAGGAGGACAGCGAGGCCCACTACGTCATCCTGAAGCGGGATGCCAGTACCGCGGCCTGGTTCACGGCAGCCGACCACGTCTTCAGCAACAAGTACACGGTGACAGGCTTACTCCCCGGCAGGAAGTACTACTTCCGAGTGGTGGCCCGCAACGAAATCGGTGACAGCGACCCGCTCGACTCCAAGGATACCTGGCTCACCAACAAGGACAAAAGTGAGTGTTGGGGGACTCGGGGGTTCGGGTTATATCCCCGATGGCAGGGAGGAGAACCGCTGAGGTGGAAAGGTTAACGTCAGGGATGCTGGGAAGAGAAGTAGCGACCCTGAAGCCCAGAGGAGATACTTTCTGGGTACTCTGAGGGGTGGGATCAACGTGGGGGTGGGGAGGTGCCCTTGCGGGCAGGGATGACAGGGGAAGGCGGGCGGTGTGGAGCCGAGCCGGGGGTCCACGGGGGCGAGGACTGGGGAGGGTCCCCGAGGGTGATGTCCAGGAAGGGAAGGGGTTAAGGGTGGGGATAGGGTCGGGGAAACTTGAAATGAGCTAAGTGGAGGCGAGAGGAGACCGTGGAGGCTGAGATGACGCCGGGGAAAGTCTGGGTGGGCAGTTACCAGCCGGGGAACAGCCGGGGCTGGAAGCTGGCAAGCACTTAGGACTCCCGCGTCTGGAAAAGGGTAAAAACCCGCGCACCTGGCTTTGATCGTGGAACCGTGGAGTGACAAGGGGTGGGAGGGTGGCGGAAGGAGAATCTCGGGCACGCCAGTGTCAAGTCGGGGCCCCAGAGTTGCTAGCGCGTGGGAATGTAGCCCAGGCCCCCGGGGCTCGGGGCTCGGGGAGCTGGGTCTCCGGGGCGCCTTCGGGGCTCTCAGCGGGCGGGCGGCGGCTGGGGTCCCGGGCGCGCTCACCGCCTGCCGCGTCCCGCCCCGCGCAGTCGAGGACCTGAGCGCCAAGCCGAAGCCGTACCAGCAGAGGGACTGGCGCCACGCGCCGCGCTTCCTGACCCCGCTTAAGCCGCACACGGTGCTGCGCGGCCAGGACTGCACCATGACTTGCGCCTTCCTTGGGAACCCGCGGCCCACGGTGACCCTCTACAAGGGTGACGTCAACATCACGGCCAACTCCAAGTTCTGGTACAACTCCACCAGCGGCGTCTGCACGCTCGTCATCCCCACCTGCACGCTCAAGGACAGCGGCGAGTACAGCGTGCTGGTGGAGAACGAGCTGGGCAAGGACCGCAGCAGCTGCACGCTCACGGTCTTCGGTGAGGGCACCGGGCAGGGCCGGCTGGGGGCGGGGAGGCGTCCCTGCGGCCCACCGGGTCCAGAGGCGCGAGATGGCCGTCTCTTGGCGCCGTTTTTTATTTCCTCTGCCATCCGGTGGTGTAAACATTCACCAAATGGCCATACTTGGTTCCTCTCTCCCATCCTCTGGGTGTCATTTGTTATGTGCCTGGCCCCTGCAGACTTGGGAGTTCAACAGACTGTAGTTTGCAGCCCTTGGTGGGCCTAGACTTGCCTTTGAAAAAGATACTGGTGATAAGGCCTAAACCAGACTCACCAGTCACCATCTCTGTGGCAGGGTTCTGGAAGGAATTTTTATGTTTACAAGATTTGACAAGGGATTCTGATATACAACCGAGACCGAAAACTACTGGTCTAGGATAAGGATAGACGGGAAGTACAAATGGGGGAAAGACTGAAGGGAACCTAGTGGAGACCCTTCCTCCGCTCAGGTGCGTCCATGTAGGGGAACTATCTTATCTCTTCCTACACACTCTACTGTCTTCACAACTACACAGCAAGGAGCATGAACTCTCGAAATGCAAAGCTGACCTGCCCCGCTCCCTTCTTGCTTTAACTCCCTAACTTTTCCATGATCCTTTTGAGAAAACCCCAGCCAGCAAGGCTCCTCCTCACATCTACTTCTCCAGCCTCATCCTCTGCCACTCCCTGAACTCTCCATGGCAGACCCTTGGTGTCCTGCTGTAGGTGCCTTTCTTTGGGGCAGGTGCCACGCCCTGTCGCTGTCTCTCTCAAGTACTCGGCTAGACGTCTGGCCCCCAAGGCTTCCTTTTCTGGCCCTGAGATGGTGCCTCCATTGTGGCGGAGGAACTGTGTGACAGAAGTAGGCCAGGGAAGGCCCGGTGGGAGACATCCAGCTTTCATTCCACAGCTAGAGAAATCCCTGACAACTTAATTCGGGTTGTAAGCACGTGGGCCAAGAGCCCTGGCTCCACTGCTGTCCAGCCGTGTGACCTTGGCAAACCACGCCGAGCCTGCTCTCTCATCTGTCCCTTAGGGCTGTTCTGAGGCTTCAATGAGATAGTGCGTAGAAGTGCCTGGCGCAATGCTTGGCAAATATTAAGGGCTGAGTAACTGGTAGCTCTTGGCCCCATACAGTCAACTGATCTTGGGAGACTGGGGCCTTAACTGTAAGTCCAGCAATTTGGAGTTTGCCTTCCTCCTAGCAACATTAACACTGACAAATACTTGTTTTGTGCTTTCAGACAAAGATGACAAGTCCCTTCTAGCATCAGTCACTGAAAGTCTGCAGAAGAAGTCAAAGTACCTTATGTGAGCTCCGGCCCAGCCCAAGCAGCAGGAGGATGTTGGGATATGTGGTTTCGGGGCCTATCCTGCGTGTGGCCCCAGTGAGGGCAGCCCCGTTAGTTCTCTGGTGCTTGTCAATGTAAACAGTCCACGAAGGCATGGGACAATAAATTGACTAAGCTCACCCCTGCCTGTTCCTGAGGGTGATGTGCAGTAGGGACCAAGGACATGGACTTGGGAGTGGATGGGGACACACGGAGCATGGAGTCCAAGAGTTTAGTCCAAATCCACGCACACTGGGAGTGAGCAGCCCCTTCTAGACTGGGCCTTGACATGCTTCCCCCGACCCCTGCAGCCACACTGCACCCTCCTCTCCCCTCAGGGCAAGGGACAGCAAGTCCTGATAGGCTTCATCCTTCTCCAGGTCCCCCCCTCCCATTTCTTCACCAGGTAGGTCTGTCGTCAGAGTTTTGGGTTTTGAGGGGATCAGGGCCTTGCCTCTTTAGTGCCCAGGGTTCCCACTATTTCAGAATTAGTGCATCTCAGAGCTAGAAGGAATTGGTCATCCAGCTCACTAGGTTTCAAACTTAGGTTTTACAGCAGAATTCTCCCTTTAAAAAAAAAAAAAATCATAAGAAACTACTGGACATCACACAAGGATAGGGGGATCTCTGAGCCTCCTTCCTCAAATTATTCTTTCACTGTCCCCCACCAGGGGGACAAATCTGTAAAAAATCCTAGTTTGGAAATCACTGATTCACCCATCACCCACATGGGACTGAGCCTCTTCCTCTACAACTCTACAATCTCTCTACTAAGGGCATATTCACCACCACCCAAGGCTTCCTTTTCTGCTTCTGGGTCGGGGCACTGCCCATTAAGATGCAAATGCCCCTGGAGTGGAGTGACTCCACTCCATTGTTTCGCCAGGGCTTCCCATCTAAAGTACAAATCAACCAATCTAATCTCCCTCCTCCCTGCTGTTTAACTGAGCCCACAGGCCAAGGAGAGAGGAGAGGCTTGATGGGAATCTGGATCATTTTGGAGCAGGCAGCAGGTCCGGGAGGAGGTGGGCAGCAGCAGAGGACACTGGGTAACTAAGACTTACCAAAGGTGGCCAGGCACCCGTGCGCAGGGGAATGTATCAAGGAGAAACTTGGATGGTGGTAAATACTACCCATCCCCCATCCTCCTGAACTACATCCTCGCCCATACACGTGACCGGGGAAGTGAGACCCACTCCAACCAGCGCCATGTCACCAGAGCCAGGGAGCCAGCCTGGCGCCAAGATGCACTGGCCAGGACTGTGACCCAGGCTGTAAGGACATCCAGGGCCCCTGGCACCATGTCCCACCCCCTCCTCTCCAGGACAGCCACATGCCACACAGGCAGACAAGCAAGACAGTCAATGGTCCTTGGTTTTTATTTTTTTTTCACATGAGCAGCAAAGGATGGAATTGTCCCATCCTTGCTCCTTTTGCATTGAATATGCCTTAGGTCTTATGACCCTAGAATGTCATTGGAGCCCCCTCCTCGGGCTCCCAGTGCAGAAGGGGCAGAGAGGAAAGCATTGATGGAGGCAGGGTGGGGTCCCAGCTCTCTAAGCCAGGCTCAGCACCCCCTCAGCAACTCCCTGAGGCCCTCTCCCTATAAGACTTAGACAGCAGGACAGAGACAGATGGCAGAGTCAGACATAGACTGGGAGACAGACCACACACACACACGGACTCACATGCACAGACACACATACAGGCTGGCCCCTTCCTTTGGCATGGTTCACCCTAGCCCTGGGGATGGGGTCTAAGGCTGGTGGTGGTGGCCCTGCACTCTGGGCTAGCCTCTGAGAGAGATGGGACCAACCTGAATCCTTGGTAACGCAAGCTCCCAGGCCAATGAAGTCCCCAGTCTCACCTACCCGGACAGACACCCCTTCACCTTCCCACCAACACTGAGAAATTGAGATTGTTCAAGTAACAAGGATAGATGAAGGAAAGGGAGACTCCATTCTCATCCAATCTTCCCAACTAGGGGCCTGCAAAAGGGGCTTCAAGCCCTGGGCTTGGGTCATCTCAGCTCACATTTCTCCTCTCTTCCCTCAACTCTGTGCAGATCAGAAAGAGTGGGAGTGGGTGAGTCAGACTTTTCTATCTAGAAGAAGTGGGCCGGGGGTGACAAGACTCTGAGCACCATCACCCTCCAGAGGGGTTTTGACAGTCCCGATGGGGTAAGAGGTGGGGAGATGTCTAATTTCAGCTCCAGCAAGGAGAATCAGGCTGGCTCTTTTTAGCTCTCCGAATTGTTGCGGACCACTAGCTTTGCTAGAGAGATCCCTTTCCTGCTCACCCCCTCAAACTTGTACATTTCCTGGGTGGTATCTGCTGCCCCAGGTTAGGCCCACAGCCATCCTGACCCAGTCCTTGCAGGTTCTGGACCCCTGCCCCGGGAGGAGAGAGGGGTAACTAGCCTCTGGCCTCTCAGTTAGCCTTGCTCAGTCTGTAGTCTTCCAGTGGCTCCTGGCTCTCAACAGCTGATAGGGCGACAAGCATCTGGGCAGCATAGTAGGTGGACATGATGAGTGCCCGTGAGTAGGGCACGGGGAAGCAGAACTTGTTGAGGGCGATGGTCAGGTCTGAGATGATAAAGAGCAGCGCGCCGCTGCCTGCCGCCAGCTCAGTCCAGCGCCAGGCCGCCTCGACCAGCCGTAGTCCTGCCATAGCCCGCCAGCCCATGAAGCCGATGAGGGCCACGTAGACCCCCACCAGACAAGTGAAGACACCTGAGAGGCACGGGTAGAGAAGAGCGTAACACAGGCCCGACAGCACGGCCATCACCAGACCTGTCCGCAGAGCCAATGGCCGCATGCCAAAGGCCGAGGCGTAGAGCATGTGGGTCACAGCAAACATCAGCAGACCTAGGAGTGAGAGGGGATGAGGGGATGCTGAGGGCAGGTTCGGGGACTAATGAGGAACAGGGTTGGGGTAGGAGGGGAGTGCTTCGGAAAACCCAGGAGCTTTGTCTGGGGAGTATCAGGAGTGGGAAGAAATCCACAGAGGTGAAGATACACCCTCCCTTCCCCTGAGAAACTCTAGAACTGATCACCAGATCATCTGCAAGGTAATCCTCCAACAAGGGCCCCACAGTCTTTGGCCTCAGAAACCCTCAGATTCCCCATATTCTTGTTCAAAAGCTCCCTCTCCCAAATCCTTGGCCACCTAAGACCCTCTGGCACCCAGCCCCAGGATTCCTCCCAGATAGCTACTGGGGCAACTGACCGTGCACAAAGTAACCCTGGTCCTGCCAGATGAGGAAGGCATCACCTAGAGCGGAGAAGACGAGCCCCGCCAAGATGCGGGTGGCACTGGGATGGGCCAGCAGGAATCCTAGGCCATGGGCCAGAAGGAAGAGCCAGAGGCAGAAGATGGGCAGGCACTTGATGAGGGCGCTGACCCACGATGGGCTGGACAAGGGCAGCCAGAGCACAAAATACACGCAGGTGGCCTTGAAGAAGGGCACCAGCTTGGGTCCCTCACTCTTCACCTGGAGGACACAGGACAAGGGAAGCACTCAGCACTTGGAGCTCAGAAGCACACAGATGTGTTCCGAGCCAGCACCCTCAACCCAGACGTATACCACCCCAGAGCCAGACCCACCCCCCAAGTAGGGAGAACTGACACACAGAAAGCCAGTCTGGCCTGCCGCAACCAGCCAGCAGAGTATGAACATTCCCATCATCACCCTGAGGCTTAACTGATTAGGCAGGGGAAGGGCTCCACTGTTCCTGCTGCCCGTGGGCATTCTTGGCCCAAAGCAGGACCGGAATAGTCACTCGCTGGGCAGAAAACAGATCTTGGGATAAAGTCCCCTCCTGCAGGCAATATTTCTCCCTTTCTGGCTCCTCCCTGTCCCTCCCCAAAACCCCTTTAACCCCTCTCTGCCAGCATCAACCACCAGCTGTCTGGAATGAAGCGGAGTCAGCAGGAAACCACAGAGACGCCACAACTGGCCAACTCGTGATCCTCCACAGTGGGGCCAGGGCACAGGCTTAGGGCCCTGGCAACACCCGGTGAGTGCCAGGAATGTGTGAGGGTGGGCCCTCAGCCCCACAGGCTCTCTCCTTGGCCAGTCTGCTCTTCAGCCTTTGTTCCAGCTGCCCTGAAAGGTACCAGCCTCAAGGTACCGTCAAGAGCAAGGAGAGGAAATAGGGATGCTGGCTAGAGAACCATTTCAGGGATTGGGGAGTTGAAGGGGCGGGGTGTCTCTTGGTCAGTCTCATTTCCCAGAGAACAAGAGCAATTCAAAAGCTCATCAAAAAGAGAGGAAGGAAGCAGGGGAGGGGTTCTCTTTCCAGCTTTTGATCTGAAGCCAACAGACTGGCTGGGAGGAGATGTGGAACTGAGAGGGGGAAGTTAGAGCAGCTGACTCAGCCTCAGCCAGATTAGGAGGGAGGGCAGCTAAAGCAAGGTGTGTCCAAGGCCACTTCAGGTACTCTCCAAGCTGAGGGAGGGGGCTACTGCAGATATCCTGAATCTGTGATCCCCTGAAGCTCCTTTTTTTGGGCTTCAAGGTACAGGGTCTCTGTGGGTGATCCAGAACTGCTGAGGTTCCCTGTATACACACACTCTGCCCAAAATGATTGTGACTCTGGCTGGGTGAGCTGTCCAGCACAAGGCTCTGGGAACACACGGATTCCCAGACTGCCGGTTACCTGAGGACTGATCAGACTGTGATGAAGGAGGTTGGGAAGAGGCAGATGGGTAGGTCCAGGGTCCAAGCCTGCCCTTGCTCTGCCAGGGGTGAGAGCAGGGAGAAAAGATGACTAAGTCCCTTCTTATGGAGATCTGCCCCATCCAGGCTCGTCAGGGTAGGGGCATGGGTAGAGGAGGAGACTGGAGGAGATGAGCAACCCCACAGTCCCCAGTTCTCCCCAGCAACCACCTGCCAGTCCTTGGAAGCATCAACCTCTGCTCCATACCCCTCCCCCAGCCCCATATTTCCTATAAGGAGAAACAGGCCGTAGTAGTAGTAGCTGGTGAGACTTTGACAGTCATAGAGAATCCAACACTAGAAGAGGAAGGGTGGGGAAGAGACAAAGGTTCGAGCTGAGAAAGTCTGAATAGGGAGAGATGTCAAGAGAGAATGACCCCTCTTCTTCCAGCGCATTACCAACGCTGCCTGGACTTAGGG